CGCCATTTTTTTGAAATCGGTATATTTTTAAAGTAAAAGCACTTAGTACTCGTTTTATATATTTGTTATCTTGAGACAATGTTTTGCAAGAAAAATTTGAAAAAATACTGTAAAAGTTGTGATTAGTTATTATTATTTTCGTTGTGATTAGTTATTATTATTTTCGTTGTGATTAGTTATTATTATTTTCGTGATTGTTATTATTGTGATTAATTATGAAAAAAATACTGTAAAATTTGTGATTTTTTAATTTAAATCTTAAGAAGCTAATATTAAATGATATTTTTGAGTATTTTACGGTTCAGAATCGGAAGGAGCACGCCCAAAAATACTATGTTAAGTCTTTTCAGAAAAGAACTATTGCATTTTCATTGAGTTATAGGAGTGTTATGTAGGACAAAACATGTTGAAACGCTAAAAGACGTTTCAGCCGAAATGCATGTATTGCATAAACGAACATTGCGAAATACGGCAAATAAATCAAAAGTGCACGCGCTGCAGAAACATCACGTTACACTTTTGAATTGTTAGGTAATTAGGTCGGTAACCTAATTCCCTAATTTCATGAATGATATATAAAGAGTTGGACCACCTACGCGAAGAGAGAGTAGAGAGAGATACTGACGAGTATAGAGGCGTACGTTACATGTCTCAAGTGAAAGACAGCTGACTCGGGAGTAATAAGAGTGTTTCGCATTATAATAACATTAACCTACTCGGTAAAGGATTAGTTAAAACGTATCTATGTGAAGTGTAATAGAACGTGATCGGAAACTGTAAGAAGACAAGTTCAATAATATATTTTTATTATAAAAACTCCTCAAGGTTATAAGACTCCCTTATTATCCTAACCGTTTGCACGTTCGCACCGGAATCCCAATTACCGGTTGTGCTTACCCTAATTGAGGGCACAACAGGAGTTCAAAAACATTCAAAAAATTTTGTGCATTTGGGCGTTAATGGGTTAAGCTCACAAGAGACTGCGGACCACACCCGCCGCGGTGCGGGGAGTCTGGGGGGCGAAGTCCCTCAGTCACATGGCTAGAGACAGGCACCTTTTTATTAATATTTTGGAAACTATAGGAAATACGCAAGTGGCTACGGAGCATATATATCTCGCTGTTTGTCGTCGATGTGACAGTTTTCCTAACCTTAATAGTAGTCAACTTTGTCAGCTAATATCTCGCTTCACAGTAAAGAGCGACAAATTTGTCAGATAAAAAAGTTGTTTCTCGTGCAAAAGTGCGTCAATTGAGCCTACTTTAATCAAAATCGAATGTAAGGTCTAAATCAGAGGTTCGATCTAAACTGAATAATTACCATTTTTTTTTAATTATTTTTTCTTCTCAATTATTATTTCTTCTCAATTATATATTTAAATAGACGGTGCGCAAATGAGCAAATGCACGGTGTACATCTTTTTGTGTCCAAATAAACGGTGTCCAAATAAATGTTGTGCATCTTTCTTTGTCCAAACGAACGATGGGCAATTGAACAGTGTCCAAATGAACGGTTGGCAATTGAACAGTGTCCAATTGAACGGTGTCCAAATAAATGATGTCCATGTGAACCATGTCCAACTGAACGGTGTGTATCCAAATGAACGGTGTGTAATTAAACGGTGTCCAAATAAACGGTGGGCAATTGAACGGTGTGCAACTAAAAAGTGGGCATTTCCTCGCGTGTACAAAAGTAAAGTAAACCGTTTGTAAAGTTTCGTGTCTATTTGCAACGTGTCCAAATGAAGACCACTCTTAATTGATTCCTTCGCTTTATATTACATGAGAAAATTATCCTTAGTTTTGTCCTATATATTTTGTAAATTCAGATATTTTAGCGTGAGATCTAAAATAGATCTAGTTTTACGATTAAGAAACATCGTTTTACCACTAAAATACGAAGTTGCATACCCTTTTCCGCTAAATGGCGCCCGAGTACATTTCAGTTATATGTAAATACGTGGTGGAGTTGCTCCGGTGCTTTGGTAGTGAATGGTTCTCTTCGGAGCTGTCTCGTGGAGGGGCCTCATCCTACGTCTTACACTACCCAAATGACACTCACCGATTTGAATGAAACTTAACATACTTATTAAATACCTAAAAATATTGAACACATATTTTTTTGTTTTTGCTAAATATGCTACCCTTTTAAGGGTAGAAATCACCCCTCAATCCCTGGGGTGTGGAAACAGCTACGGCTAATTATTTCCGAAACGATACATTTTCTGAAAAATGTGCTCAGGACCAAAGTTGTAGGGTTTAAAGTGATGCACTTGATGGTGACTTTGAGTTGACCTTGAGGTCGATTTTCAAGGTCAGTTGAAGATCACTTCATGTTTTTCAAAGGGAATATTTATTTTTAACCTCGACAATTAGTAGAACGTAAAATTTTACGTTCAGAACGTGGATGGTTCGATTGATTAAACAGGATAAAAAATCATAGAAAATATATGATGAAATAATATTGGGAAATGCTTGCTCAACGATAGTCGTGAAAATGACAATGGATCATATGTCCAAATGAAATTCTAACACAAAATAAAGAGTAAAAGGTGTTGCGGATAACTTCAGAATAGGAATAAAAATCAGAAAAAATTGAAGATATTATTTTAATGTAGTATGAGTAATGTTAAACATACAATTAGGGTGATACTTTACATTTTCTTACTTTTATTTCTATTCTAAAGTTACCCACAAAACTTTTTTCTTATTTTTTCTGTGAATTTGCATTTAAAAAATTTTCTCACCACGTCAAATTTTTTTAGGAAAATAACGCGACAGATCAATTCTGAAGACAGATTTAGAGTCAGCGCACGAAATCACTGATTATATACAGGATGTGGCAAAAGTCCGGCAACGGCTAATTATCTCCAAATTTAATTGACCTTGAAAATCAATTTCAAGGTCACCATCAAGTGCATTACTTTAAACCCTACAACTTTGGTTCTGAGCACATTTTTCAGAAAATGTATCGTTTCGGAAATAATTAGCTGTAACTGTTCCCACACCCCAGGGATTGAAGAGTGATTTCTACTCTTAAAATGCGTATTTAGCAGAAACAAAAAAACACGTGTTCAATATTTTTAGGCGTTTAATAAGTATGTTAAGTTTCATTCGAATCGGTGAGTGTCAGTTGGGTAGTGTTACTACCCAACTCTCTCAAAAAGATTAAGCGGTAGACTTAACATTTTGTGATTACTACTCTAATATATTTATGGCGTGGGAAGTGGATTCTGATCTCCACGGCAGTAATCATTGGACTAT